GTGAATTAAACTCATTTCTTAAAAAACTAGATATCAAAAAAGACGAATAACATTTCATTTCTACATAGACATTTATAATAATTTTGACACATTAACTATAATGTCCATTTAAATCCTGTCATTTCAAGAAATTTATCATTAATAAAGTTTATTTGATAAACCCTAGTTACAATAAATTAAATTTTCTTTTATAATGTTAATTTTTCAATTATTTCAAAATTCTTTCACAATACGTAATTCTCTATAATTAAAATTATTATTTCTTTATAAAATACTAAAAGTAAACTAATAGTTATTTCTACAATAAAAATAAACAAAAAAACTTTTAATAATTAATATACATCAATTTATACGGATTTGCACAGTAATCTTTTCAGTGTAAATGAAATGCTTTCCTAAATAAGCTTTAAATTGTCATACACCTTCCAGTACATCTACTATGTTACGACTTATCTTATATTAATTAACAAGAGTGACGGGCGATCTGTGCATATTTTAGAGCTAAAATGAATTTCATAATTTTTAGAAATTTACTATTAAATCTACCTTCAAAAATTTATTTCAAAATTTTATCCGTTTAAATAAATTTATTGTAACCCATGAAAACTTAATTATAAACTGCACCTTTACCTGATTTAATTTTTAACATAAAATTTTGAAGATTATTATCCTTACATTATAAATTTTTAGCACTTTTCCAAAAATTTTTTGAAAAAAAAGTGCTTATTAGTTTCACTCTGTCCGTCCGTCCGTCCGTCTGTCCGTGTGTCTGTTTACAAAACTTCTACACCCTTAGAGATAGAAAGCTGAAATTTTGTGTGTACATAGATCTTTACTAGAAATTTACTTCTCCCTCTAGAACCTTATACTTAACTTATTTACTTAACCCTCTAGAAGTTATACCCCCCCAAAACCCTAAAAATAGCCTTTTTTAACTATTTGTTGCAATGAAACCATAAGCATTTTTGAAATTTTGCAAACACAGAAAGGCAGCGGCTTGCTTATAGTTAAACTTTAGAAAAACAAAATGGCCGTTCAAATTTACCGTTATCTAAAGTCCTTTTTTTCCAAATTTTTTATGTCGTTTTTCTTCTAGACCCCACCCTGCAGAAACTAGAAATTTTAGGGGCTTTTAGACATTAACATATAGTTAATGTCTAAACTATTCACACTTCGTTAGAGGAAAATTTTTTTCCATCTCCACCCCCTCTCAAGTTATCGCCCCTTGGAATTTGTAAAATTTTAATTTTTGACACCCTATATATCCGAAACCGCAAGCTTTTTCAAATTTCTATAAACGCAAAAAGTTAACAATAAATTCCATGACATTAAAAAATATAATTATTTTCTTAACTCACACAATTAAACCTTAAAATAGAGCATTATGTTAACCCCGCTTTATATTAATTTTTGCTTTATTATGCAAATATATGCAATCCTAGAAATAGTTTCGTATACGAATGAAAATAATTTTTATAGTGTGATAGGTATTCATAGACTGTATTTTAAAAGCAGAATTTTCACTTGTTGAAGGGAAAAGTGCTACAATACAAGCCATTGGTTTGACCCAACCTTATTAATAATAAGGGTATCTAATCCTAGTTTATTACAAAAATTTTCTAGCTTCAATTAGTTAAATAATAATTAAAATAAAATAATAAAATTTCACCCAAAACTATTTCATTTTATAAATCAATTTACAAATTAATTATATGCTAAAACAATTTATTTCCATCTTCTGTATAACCGCAGCTGCTGGCACAGATTTAGCTAATGCTCAATTTAATTACTAATTCCAGACTTATCTGATAATTAATTTTACTTTCTGCGAATAAACTTTAAAAACTTTTCATTAAAAAAATTAATCATTGACACAAAAATTTACATATAAAATAATTATATAATAAATTTAACAAGCCAAAATTAAACTTTAATTAATAATTCAACAGAAAATTAATCTAATTTAAATAAAACATTTGCAACTATAGTTAACACTTATTAATTAATTAAATATAAAATTAAACAATTCAAGAAAGTCAACTAGTAAAAAGTAAATCCTACCGAAGATATAAAAAAATAAAATCCCCTTAAATTTTAATTTCTTAATCGTTTTTAATAACGAAAATATTAAAATATAGCATAATATAATTATTAATTTTTAGATTAACAGTTAACACTTATTAATTAATTAAATATATAAAGTTGAGTCAAACCAATGGTTTGTATTGTAGCACTTTTCCCTTCAACAAGTGAAAATTCTGCTTTTAAATACAGTCTATGTATACCTATCAAACTATTAAAATTATTTTCATTCATATACAAAACTATTTCTAGAATTGCATATATTTAGGATGACGCATATATGCAGTGTTTGAGATAAAGCAAAAATTAATGTAAAAAGGGGTTAACATAATGCTCGATTTTAAGGGTTAATTATTTGAGTTAAGAAAAATAATTATATTTTTTAATTTCATGGAATTTACCGTTATCTTTTTGCGTTTATAAAAATTTGGAAAAGTTTGCGGTTTCGGAAATATAAGGTGTCAAAAATTCAAATTTTACGAATTTCAAGAGGTTATAACTTGAGAGGGGGTGGAGATGGAAAAAAAATTTTCTTCTAATGAAATGAACTATTTGTTAATGTCTATAAGCCCCTAAAATTTCAAGCTTCTACAGGCTGGGGTCTAGAAGAAAAATGAAATCAAAAATTTGGAAAAAAAGGACTTTAGATAACGGTAAATTTGAACGGCCACTTTGTTTTTCTAAAGTTTAACTATAGTATATCGCGCTAGGGGAAGCAAGCCACTGCCTTTCTGCGTTTGCAAAATTTCAAAAATGCTTATGGTTTCATTGCAACAAATATTTAAAAAAGGCCATTTTTAGGGTTTTGGAGGGGTATAACTTCTAGAGGGGGGGAGATAGGTAAAAATTTTGTTCTACGGAAATAAGTTTCTAATGAAGATCTATGTACGTATGAAATTTCAGCTTTCTATCTTAAAGGGTGTAGAAGTTTTGTAAACAAAAAAAGTGTCCACGGACGGACGGACGGACGGACAGAGTGAAACTAATAAGCACTTTTTTCAAAAAAATTTTTGGAAAAGTGCTAAAAATTAAACAATTCAAGGAAGTCAATTAACAGAATATATAAGTATAAAATATATAAACATAAATTATATTTTTTACCGACCGTATTGTGTAAACAATAGGTAGGTTATGTGATAGCAACAAATTTTGCATATCGAGTTTTCGGTGGGAACGTACTTCTCCATAATAAGGAAGTGTAAATAAACTATTTTTAGCAACCTGTCGGTCTGTCGGTCTGTCGGTCTGTCCGTCTGTCGGTCTGTCGGTCTGTGTGTGCACGCGTGTATCTCAAGTTCAGCTGAACCGATTTTGATGAAATTTTATATGTAAGTTTGTTTCCACCATGGCACGGATCGATCAACTTTTGGTATATATCAGGCCTCGGGAACTGCACTTTTTAGCGGGCCTGTTTTACATTTTTGAACATTTTGAAGAAAATATTCAACCGATTTACTTGAAATTTTATATATAAGCTCAGCTCGACCGTCCACAAAAATTCGTATGTTTTGCAAGAAATCAGGCATCGGCAACTAGACGTTTACTACGGGCCAAATCTACATTTTTGTGTATATAAAGAGAAGTAATCAACCGATTTCATTGAAATTTAATATATGAACTCCTCGTATTAAAACAATGAACATATAAATTTTTTGAAAAGATCAGGGCTCGAAAACGGATTTGCGGGCCGATTTTACATTTTTCACCATTTTGAAGAAAGTATTCAACCGATTTACTTGAAATTTCATATATAAGCTTTGCTCGATCACACGCAAAAATTCCTAACTTTTGGAAGAAATCAGGCATCAGCAACTGGGTGTTTACTACGGGCCAAATATACATTTTTGAGTATATAAAGAGAAATAATCAACCGATTTCATTGAAATTTAATATATGAATTCTCCGTATTAAAACAATGAACATGTAAATTTTTTGGAAAGATCAGGCATCGGCACTAGACGTTTACTACCGGCCAAACATACACTTTTGTGTATATAAAGAGAAATAATCAACCGATTTCATTGAAATTTAATATATGAATTCCTAATATTAAAGCAATGAACATATAACTTTTTTGGAAAGATCAGGGCTCGAGAACTGATTTGCGGGCCGATTTTACATTTTTCACCATATCCACAGAACAAATTGATGGAATTTCTTGAAATTTGATATTTGAGTTCTGGTTGTTACCGAAACTAACTGGCGAGCATTTCAGGGAATTCGGGTAGCACAAAGCAAAACTCTACTAAGAGCCAAATTTACATTTTTCTAAGTAAGTTAACTATAAGCTTACTTAACAGACATTTTTATAATATTCTGTAACACTTTCATTTAACTAGACAATATACAATGCGGTCGGTTATGTGCTGGCCACATCAGATTTTTTTTTTAATATAAATAATTTATATTATAATATATGAAAGATTAATAATGCTTACAACAATTGTAAAATAACTATATATATATATATGTTTATTATGTACTACATATATATATATATATATGTATATTATATAGAATATTTCTATAAATATTATATATAATATATAATTTATATTATAATATATATATATATATATATATATATATATATATATAATATTTATATAGATAATATATTTTATTATCTTATAATAAAAATTTATATATATATATAAATAATCTATATATTATGATTAAAAAGTTCAAATTTATATAATGGAATACATAAATAGTACTCAATAATTAATTCAAAATATATATTAACAGAAATACAATGTAATTTTAATTTTTATTTAAATAAACAATAATTTAGAAGATTTATATAATATAGATGCTTATATTATATATAAATATTTATATTACAAAAATATTCAATATGATTTGAAAATAAGTACAAAAATTAATTGATTAATAAAATTATTAACTTAATTTCAAATTTAATTTTAAAAAATTATTTAAAATAAAATTTATTAATATGTAATACAGCTTATTCAATTTTAGTTAATCTATATAATATAATGAGTTGCCTCACAAAAGGATTACTTTAATAGAGTAAATCATACAATTTAACATTATATTCATTAATTTATATTTAATAGAATTAAACTATTTCTTTAAGCATCAAAAGTTCTTGTGCATCGTACACCAAAATATATTCTCATTTTAAAACATAATTTATTTATAATATATATATAAATATACACATGAATAAATATTAATTTTTTTTTAAAAAAGATAACCTAACTAAGCTAATGGGCTCATACCAAATTTATAAAGGTTTTGATCCTTTTCTTTTTAATTCCAAAAAATTCTTCAAAAGCATTATTCTTATCAATTTTAATGTTAGAGTCTCTAATAGCTGTTTCAGCAAATTCATGACTAAGAACATGAATAGGATTAGAAATTAATTTACTGGCATTTATTCCCTTAATAAATGACATTAACAATTTAAAGCCCTCTGAAGCATCTTTAAAATACTTTCTAACTCTTCTAATTATTTACATACTAAAATACAATTTTATTTTTCAAATAGAAATAAAAAATAATTTCAGAAAAATAATTATTTTATCTTCCCTTCTGCTAAAGAGAGGTACTACTCCATTCCACTTCTGATATTCAGAAGTAATAGAGGGATTATCATGAATAAATTCATTTATTTTAATAACATGGCAAAAATTTGCTCCACTCATAATAATTTCTTATATTCAGCTTAATAGCTTTATTTTTGCAATTATTATCATCTCAGCCACATTTGGATCACTTGGAGGATTAAATCAAACATCTCTACGAGAAATTATAGCTTTCTCATCAATTAATTATTTAGCATGAATACTAAGAGCCATACTGGTTAACAAAAATATTTGAATAAATTATTTCTTTTTTTATTCTATTTTATCATTTACATATATATTTAATATATTTGAAATATTCCAATTTAGTCAAATATTTTCATTGTTTTCTTCCTGAAAGTATTTCAAATTAATTATGATAATTAATTTACTGTCACTAGATGGTCTACCCCCATTCCTGGGATTCATCCCCAAATGAATAATCATTCAATATTTGTCAATTAATAATCAAATATTTTTAATTGTTACATTAATAACTATAACCCTAATTACCCTATTCTTTTATCTGCGTATAGGATTCTCAGCATTTATGCTAAATTATTACGAAAATAACTGATCCATTAACACAGTATTCAATCCCATTAAAATAAAAATATTCTTAATTAATGCTTTCATCGCAACATTTGGGCTACCAATTATTTCCGTAATTTATATTATACTTTAAGGCTTTAAGTTAAATAAACTAATAGCCTTCAAAACTATAAATATAAGAACATCTTTTAGGCCTTAGTACAAAGTACTCCTTTAGAATTGCAGTCTAATATCATAAAATATGACTATAAAGCCAATTCAATATGACTCAATAAAGAAGAGAAAAATACCCATAAATAGATTTACAATCTAACGCCTAAACTTCAGCCATTTAATCGCGAAAACGGCTATTTTCTACAAATCATAAAGATTTTGGAACCTAATACTTTATTTTCGGTGCATGAGCCGTTATAGTAGGTACATCTCTTAGTATTATTGTACGAGCTGAATTGGGTCATCCAGGTTCCCTAATTGGAGATGACCAAACTTACAATGTAATTGTAAAAGCCCATGCATTTATTATAATTTTCTTTATAGTAATACAAATTATAATTGGGGGATTTGGAAATTGATTAGTTCCTCTTATACTAAAAGCACCTGATATAGCATTTCCATGAATAAATAATATAAGATTTTGAATACCACCCCCTTCCCTTACTCTTTTGTTAGCAAGTAGAATAGTGGAAAACGGAGCTGGAACTGGATGAACTGTTTACCTGCCTCTATCAGCAGGAATTGCTCATGGAGGAGCTTCAGTTGATTTTTTATTTTTTATTTTTTCCCTTCACTTAGCAGGTATTTCGTCTATTTTAGGGGCAGTTAATTTTATTACAACAGTTATTCATATACGATCCACAGGAATTACTCATGATCGGATACCCTTATTCGTCTGATCTGTTGTTATTACAGCCGTTCTGTTATTACTTTCATTACCAGTATTAGCAGGAGCTATTACAATATTATTAACTGACCGAAATTAAAATACATCATTCTTCGACCCAGCAGAGGGTGGAGATCCAATTTTATATCAACATTTATTTTGATTTTTTGGACATCCAGAAGTTTACATTTTAATTCTCCCTTAATTCGGAATAATTTCTCATATTATTAGCCAAGAATGTGGAAAGAAGAAAACATTTGGATCACTGGGAATAATTTATGCTATACTAGCAATTGGCCTATTAGGATTCATTGTTTGAGCCCACCATATATTTACAGTAGGAATAGATGTAGATACACGAGCTTACTTTACATCAGCTACTATAATTATTGCTGTCCCAACAGGAACACAACAGACCTCTTCATGGAACACAAGTATCTTATTCCCCAGCTTTACTATGAGCTCTATCATTTGTATTCCTATTTAGGAATATTTGTAGGAGGACTAACTGGACTTGTATTAGCCAATTCATCAATTGATATTATTCTTCATGATACATACTATGTAGTAGCTCACTTCCACTATGTACTATCAATAGGAGCCGTATTTGCAATCATAGGGGGATTTATTCATTGATACCCACTATTTACAGGACTAACCCTAAATTATCAATGATTAAAAAGTCGATTTATTGTAATATTTATCGGAGTTAATTTAACTTTCTTCCCTCAGCATTTCTTAGGACTAGCAGGAATACCCCGACGATACTCAGATTAACCAGATGCATACACCGCATGAAATATTGTATCAACAATTGGATCACCTATTTCTCTCTTGGGTATTCTCATATTTTTGTTTATTATTTGAGAGAATATAGTATCAATTGAATGATACCAAAATATTCCTCCAGAAGAACACAGATATTTTGAATTACCAACTCTTACTAACTTCTAATATGGCAGATTAGTGCAACAGATTTAAGCTCTTTATATAAAGTCCTTAACTTTTAAAGTCGGTTATTTAATAGGAATACTATTCTTTAACAATTATACTAATCGATTCCTCCTCCATTGCCAAACTATTGAAATTATTTGAACAATTCTTCCAGCCATTGTTCTTCTATTTATTGCATTCCCCTCCCTACGACTCCTATATTTACTACATGAAATTAATGAACCAATCATTACATTAAAATCTATTGGACATCAGTGAAACTGAAGCTTTGAATATTCAGATTTTTTATCAATTGAATTTGATTCATATGTATATAGTCCCAATAAATGAATTTCCTATTGAGTAAACATAAACTTTCTTCAGTTTATTTTCAAAAATTATAATCAGACTCACGTTATTGACATCATTTAATCATTTGTTTATTTAATAATAGGTCTGTCTGGGATAAAACTTGAAAAAACTTTAAAAAGAGAAACAATGAGGACATTTCTTGTAAAAAGAAAATTCTCATTTAAAAAAAACATGAACCAGGCGGAAAACTTGGAAAAACTTTTAAAAACTTTATCAATATGTGATAAACGTTAAATTTCAAAGTATTTATCAAACATGGTTAAATATTTTTTGGTTATACCAGAATTTTGATTTTGTAAAAGTCGGAAACTTAGAAAAAACCTTTTACGAATCCATTTTGTTTATTTTATTTTTTTTTTAATGCAAAAGTTTTGAAAAAAAAGTTACTGTTGATGAAAAATTTTTTCAAAAATAAAACCTTCTGCCATAACCAAGAAAAACATATGTTACGACGACTGTAACATTTTAAAAGTTTTTAAAACACTAAGTTTTGCTTTACAAAACTTAAAAAAACTTAAAGCATTAAGAAAATTAGAACGTCATTATTTTCTTTCATTTTTGTTCCAAAAATATTATTTCAGAATATTATTTGCATACAAAAACTTTATAAAGTTTTAAGAGATTTTAAAAACTTTCTTATACCAGACAGACATAATATTTATTTATGTTTGATTGGGATTTTTTTTACGGCAAGTAACACTTTATATTTTTCTTTTTACAGTTTTTCCAAGTTTTATACCAAAATTATCTATTACGTAGGTACCCTAAACTTGAATTACTCAAGAAGATTATTAAAAAATCTTCATTTTTCAAGAAAAAATTTTAGCCTGTGACATTTTAAAACGTCAAAATTATTCAACAAATCTTGTTACTTTTAAATCGTGGTATGATATTACACTTACCCGCAATATAAGTTAGCTGATTAGAGCTAATCAAAAGTACGATTACGGCATAATCATGCTTTTCGTTCGACATTTATTGTCGAACAACACTTTTTTCAGCGCTCGTTCAAAATTGGGGGCCAACGGTTAATAACCGTTTTTTATTAATGAATCGAATTGAATATAATTGAATCGGTTGGTATAACATTATAGATTGCACTGAGTAATGAATCGAATCTAATACACATATACTGAGCTATATGTATCACGCTTTTTTACCCAGTTTTTATTAACTTTCAAATCAGAATTCTCAGTATGTTCTAAGATATATTTAACTTTTACAATAAGACACTCATTTTTTCAATTGGATTCTTGCATTTTTTCTCAAATTATCGGCCGAACTTCTCACTTTCAAAAAAGTGAAAAAGTAAATATATATTTTAGAAAGAAACTTTTACTAAACTAAAATGTATATATTTTAGAAAGAAACGAAATACGAAATACCAAATAATAATTTTTCTCACTCGAAAATTATATTATACAAATATATGATAGTTACCCACTTTCTAATTTTCGGATTAAAAAAACGAGGTATACGACCAGGCCCTTATATATTCTGTACACATATATGAAATTTTTCGAACACAAAAAATATAATCAAAATTTTTCAAACAACTAAGTAATGTCAGCGAGAACTTAAAGAACTGAAGATTAAAAAAGTTAATGACACCTTGAATCAAACAGCATAATGTGAATACATATTTGTTTAAAAATTATGTGCGGGAATCAATTTTATTTTTAAAGATGAGTAAAAATTAAAGAAAGAAGCATTTAATTTTCATTCTTAACATCAATTGTAGTAAATAATAATGTATGAAAAAAATCAAATCGAATTAGAAAATTTTGTTTCAATTTTTAGCACTTTTCCAAAAAATTGTTCACTCTGTTCGTCCGTCCGGCTGTCCATGTGTCTGTTTACAAAACTCTGCACTGTTGGAGATAGAAACCTGAAAATTTTTATATACATAGATCCTTACTGAAAACTAATTTTCGTAGATTAAAAAAATTTTAACTCATAATTTAAATCATAATTTAGAAACTAATTTTTACCTTCTCATTCCCTTTAAAAGTTATACCCCCGCCCCAAAACCCTAAAAATACCATATGCATTTTGCCATTTTTGCAAATGCAGAAAAGCAGTGAGTTGTTTCTTTTATTACGGCATACTATACTTGAACTTTAAAAAAGCAAAATGACCGTTCAAATTTACCGTAGTAAAAAATCCGATTTTATCCAAATCTGTGATGTCGTTTTTCTCCTAAACTCCAGGTTGTAAAAGTCTGAAATTTTAACAACTTTCAGACATTAATAAATAGTTCATTTCGTTAGAAGAAAAACCCCTCCTCCTCTCAATTTCAATATTTGGCACCTTATATCAGAAAAACCGGAAGCTTTTTCAAATTTCTATTAACGCACAAATCTAACGGTAAATTCTATGCTATTAAAAAATATAATTACTTTTCTTAATCCACACAATTAACCCTTGAAATAGAGTATTAACCCCTCTTAAAATTAATTTTTGCTTTTTTCAAAAACTGCATAAACGGTTCATCCTAATTATATGCAATCCTAGAAATAATTTCGCATATGAATGAAAGCAACTTTAATAGTGTGGTAGGTATACATGATTGTTTTTCGAAGCAGTATTTTCTTTTATTGAAGGGAAAAGTGCATACACACCATTGATTTGATGCAACTTTATTATAAAAAAGCATCAGCCATGTAGTAGCATTTCAAGACTAAAATTTACATAAGCAAAATATTAAATCAAAATAAATCTTTGAGAACTTTTTTTGTTTAACCTGTAAGTACGTTGTTGTTTAAATCGTTTCTAAAGTATTACAAACGATATATTAAAAAGGTAAAATTATTTACGATTATCAAAACTTTTAAAGTAAAACCTCGAATAACGTTAGATTGACCTTGACAGTTTTACGTATTTAGCTTTGATTGACAATATTGACAATTTCGATGTTCACAAATTCAAATATTCATTAAGCGAAAAACGATTCCAGTGGAAGTACCAGAATGAAATCATTTAGGAATAGATATATCGAAAATAAACCTGACCATTGGTGCAGTGATTATGGCACCGGCCCTTTAACCGAAGGGTCTCGGGTTCAAACCCCGGTCAGGTCACTATAAAAATTATATGCAATATTATATAACTTAATATGCAATACTAATAAAAATATTATACAAGTAATTTTCAAATATTCCTAATATTCGATATTAAAAAAACTAAGAAAAATAAACAGTAAATATTAATAACCTCAAATAATTAATATAAATAAAAACTACGGCAGGCTAGTCACCTACCTAGTTAAACTCTATGACGCTATGAAACTAGTGCATGAGAAATCATGCACTAGCCCTATGCTCCTTCTAGGAGTGAAAAAGGAAAAAAAAAAAAATATCGAAAATAAAGTACATATGTACTAATATGAAAAGCTGAATTTATAATTCAGTTTTATAACGTTCAGTTTTATAACGTTATAACGTTATCATCGTTCCAACCCTTACTTGATTCATTTGAAAACGGACCTTTATGACAAAAAATACTGCCCGATAAAATTATTTAAAAATTTGCATAAGTGTTTATTAATTTTAAATTATTTTATTTTTAAAGCTTATTTGACCTGTTTATTTGTTAGACAAAGTTGGACATGGGGCAATTCATGAAAAATTTACTCTTGTATGAAATGGGTTAAAGTTCAATGTGGTTTTATTTAGTAGGTATGATATTTCAGAGGACTTCAACATTTAATTATTAAAATCTAAAATTAAGTAAAAGGAGCATTCATGCTCCCAAGTATTTTAAAATAAAAAGACGCCATATAATAAGCAAACAACAAAAAAATTGACAACTTGAAAATTTATAACGACCACTTTTTTTTAAATTGCTTGTTACGTTGTGAGTATTTCTTTAGTAGACTATTGAGTGTTATTTATACTACGAACGTAATTTATGCTTACTGCTACGAAAATTTTAATAATTCGGAATTGAGGCCATAGAACTCATAACTATGCGAATTTCAGAGCTAGGAACGAAATCAGGATATGGCTGACTGCCATTGGTGATTCACAATCTTTACGAAAGGAATTTGTGATCATTTAAAAGTCTACGTCGTAGTTATGTTCGTAATTCGTAGGAATCTACGAATTCATGATAGAGCCGAATATGAAATAAAAACGTAGGTAACTTTTTAGGCCTAAAATAAAATAAAATATGAAGTCTGCATTTGTACATTATGCAGTATTATATAGCTTTATACTACGCATACTAGATACTAGCCATGTGTCGTTCGCGAACGGACTAATCTTAAAGAACAAATCACTTCAATGAACTTAGCTGAATCGTTCACTAAGAATTCCAATTTTCTTTTTTAGTTATTAAAAAATATGACTTTATCTACATTGATAATTCATATACATTTTATATTATTCCTTATTTCTTTCTGTATTAATATTACACAATACAAATAAAATTGAACGATATACTAAATAAAGCATATGCAATACTTATAAAAACGAATGACATACTCCTATATGCAATATTGATAAAAGCAAATGAGAAATAAAAACATTTCAGTCGGTATAAACCGACCGAATTATACCCTGCACTTTTCATTGCTGTATAGCAATTACTCGAACCTGTAAAATCATTATATATAAACTTCACGGATATGACTGACTGACTGACATATTCTGAAAAAAAAACTATAATTGAACATACGACTGCCAAGTTTTATGAATCTGACTTTATTATTTTTTCAAATATATAAAATTAAAAATAAAATTTTTAGAGCGTATGTAAAATGTAGTTGGACACACGCATACAAAATTTCATATTTCTACCTTTATAAGTTTTTGAAATATTTAGCATATGCAATACTTATAAAAACGAATGACATACTCCTATATGCAATATTGATAAAAGCAAATGAGAAGTAAAAACATTTCAGTCGGTATATAAAATAAACTCTTTGAGCTACCCGAAGCCGCTGTCCGAATTAGTCCAATTACAATAGGGTTCGT